AAGGAAGGAAGGAAGGAAGGAAGGAAGGAAGGAAGGAAGGAAGGAAAGAAGGAAAGAAAGGAAGGAAGGAAGGAAAGAAAGAGAAAGAAAGAGAGAGAAAAAGAAAGAGAAAAAGAAAGAGATGAAAGAAAGAAAGAAAGAAAGAAAAGAAGAAAGAAAGAAAGAAAGAAAGAAAGAAAGAAAGAAAGAAAGGCATGGTGGCGCATGTCTGCAGTTCCAGCTACGTAGGAGGCTGAGGCAGAAGAATCACTTGAACCCAGGAGACAGAGATTGAAGTGAGCTGAGATCACTGCACTCCAGCCTGCTTGACAAGAATGAGAATGAAAAAAAAAAAGGAAGGAAGGAAGAAAGGAAGGAAGGAAGAGAAAGAAGGGAAGGAAGGAAGGAAGAAAGAAAGAGAAAGGAAGCAGAAATTAAAAGAATATGTGCAGGGCAAGCCAGGAGAAAGAGAAAAAGCTTAGAGAATTTGGGGTGAAGTGTTTGTTGTATATGATGAAAACCCCTCCCTCATTGTCACCTATGAAATCATAAATAAAATCTACAGTGAGATATTACCTGAAATCAGAGGCCTATGGTAAGAGCAGCTTAGACACAGGAACTTCCACAGAGGCAGGAAGGGTGGCCAGCATGGGACAGGCCAGGACTCCATACCTGTGCGTGCCCTAAGAAAGTGTGGAGAGTCTGTCGTAAAGGGATCTCACAAAGCCCACCGGAGTGCCCACATGCACCCAGGTCCCCTGCCTTCTGCTCACTCCAGCACCATGCCGGGTGGCTAGCAGCAGGCAGGTAAAGAGCACTAAATTCAGAGCTAGAAAATCAGGGTTGAAATTCTCACTATCCTACTGAGACAACTGACATCTTTAAGTCTGTTTTTTATTTGCAGAATGGGTGAATGCCTTGTAATAAAGAACAAATCAAATAGTATGTGCCAGAGAGTTTTTAAATACTGAAAAAGGCTGGACAAATGTAAGCTATTACTAGTGAGCGAGTTGCCCAAGCTAAGACATTGAATCCACCAGGGCAACTATGAACTGCTCATGTAAATGTGTATTTTTGTTGAAGGGCAATGTGAGAGTCTCTGATTTTTAAACAATTGCCCCAAAATGTCAGTTTTACTTCTGCATCTAGTTATGATGATGTAACTGGTATAGGACATACCTTCCCACTGAAAACACCTATAAAACAGTTCAAATATGTGAGACAACGGTTTTCAGGCATTTAATAGCAAGACCGTGACCCCTGAGATAAGGAAAACACACAAGGTGAGCCCACAACTGCCCTGGGGTTTTTCCTAGGGATGCTTTTTCTGCTATGATGCAGGCAGATGGAGCCCCAGAGGCAGTAGTCTCCCTGAACTAAAAAGGTTTCAGTCAGACTTCAAAGCTGCTGAAGGGGGCTGGAATGTTCAGGGCAGGTTCCTGAGGAGAGTTTTCTTTGTGGGAACTGACTGTGTGTGCCCTTGCCCAAGGACTTCTATGTGTGCACAGTGTGAGACTCCAAGAGACCCAGCAGAGGTCACCTGACCCAAGGCTGAGCACTGAAGGAGGTAACAGAGAATGTGCAGTGCTTCGAATGTTGCAGTTGCATCCCTTGGAGAGTGGAGAGACCTCGCTGAGCATTGTGGGACTTTGCACCTCAGAGCCCTTGCCCCATCAGCTAATTAAGGCTGATGTTTTATCAGAAGCAGTGGATGCCATAAGGCAATGGAAAGGCATCTTTAACATGCTAAAAGAAAACAATAAAAATTGTTAACCAATAATTCAATAGCCAATGAATGTCTTTGTAAAAATGAGAATAAAATACATTCATTTTAGGTAAATAGAAGCTGAGATCGTTCATCTCCAGCATACTTGAACTATAAGACATTCTAAAGGCAGTGTTTGAAGCTGAAGGGCAAAGATGTCAGATGGAAACTTAGATCTATAGGAAGGAAAGAAAAGCGCTATTAGTTGCAAATATGTGAGTAAATAGAAACAAAACATGTACTTTTCATTTTTAACTTCTTAAAGACTATGACTGTTTAAAATGAAAATTGCACTGCTGTACTTTGGAGTTGATAGCATGTGTGGATAGAATGTATTTGACAACTACAGCACCAAAGACTGAGAAATCAATGGAAGCATATTGTTGCAATCTCACTTTTTACATAAAAAACATATGTTATTTACTCTAAGTATATCGTGATAAGGATACGTATTTTCTTCATAGCTTTGTGACAAAGATGTCAGAAAAGTCAAAGTTTAGATCCAATCAACAAACCCACACTGAGCATCTCCTCTATGCCAGGTCCCAGGTAGGCCCTAAAGAAACAGTGATGGACAGGGCAGAGCTGCTGTGAAGGTTAATTCCTTGCTGCAGAGCAGTCTACAGCAGTCGTTCAAGTTGGCAAGTGGTTCTTCCTCATATAGCAATTCAGGAATATTGCTCCATTGTCCCTTAGAGCCTTGTCTTCTGCTTCCAGTCTGTAAAAGAGGAAAGGGAGTGAACAAGTAAGACATACCTCTGCCCATGAAGGCCCAGCCTCTGAGTGGTCTGCTCACATGCCATGGTAACCACATGGCCATATCAAGCTGCAAGGAAGGCTGGGAAGTGAAGACAAGCCATGGGCCAGCCTCAGTCCTGTTACTTGAGAGAATGCATTTTGGTAGGCTGTCAGTCTCTACTATGACCTCTTCAGAGCACTTACCATCATTTATCAGGGCAATATACCAAAAAGTTAATAATTTTAAAATAAATATTTTTCTGACTTGTAAAATAAAACATGTTAATTTTAAATAGCATGTAAAAGTAAAAAAAAAAAAGAGGGAATAAAATAAAACTCACTAATACCCTAATGCTGAGAAATAGCATTTCAGCCTTTTTTCCATGTATACATACTTTTTACCAAAGTATATTTCTTCAGTCTTATTTTTTGCTCTTAACAAACTGGAATCACCCATATATTCCCCTTTACAACTTGTTGGGTTTTTCTTTCACTTAATTCATCACAAGGACTTCCCCATTTCATTATTACAATGTATTTTCTACACCACCTTGGGAACAAGAAATAAGACTATTTACACAGCAACAGGACATGTTTAACAAACCTGGAGAGAAAGGAGCTTCCTGGGTGCTGGTTGCATTTCCATATGCTCCAAGAGGATCATAATGAACTCCAGAAAAAAGAGAGAGAATCCCATCATTAGATTGTACTCCCAGGGAGATGCAATCACTGGTGCAAATGGAAGGTAACCCCACAGGACACCTGGAGCCTGCAGGAGAAATAGTCAACACCGCTGATGATATTCCATGAGACTTGGAGACAGGAGGGAGGGTTGGAAAACTACAAATGAACAAATGCTGCCATAATTTTCAAAGCTGGCCTGAAGATTCAACTCCATATCAGCAGAGTTAACATAAAACTCAAAAGGAGCCCACTGAGAAGATGAAGACCATGAAGATCACCGGGTGAACAATCGGCAAATCCTAATGTTTTGCTGAATCAACCCATTTTAGTTGGCATTGGGTGTTGCCAGGACCAAATCCTAAACCGGGTTTTGGAGGCACAAATAATAGATAAGACTTTTTCCTCAAGGAGATTTCAAGCTAAGAACAAGTCCTTTAGGCTAAGCACATGTATCTTTGGTATGTGAGATCAAGGGTGCTAGCATCACTTTGACTATGAGCTCCAATAAGGTGTTCAATAACATCTCTTATAACTTATGCATCCACGTATTCCTCTACCATCTTCCTCTACCATCTGCACACCACCGTATGCCCCGTACTATGGAAGATGCCTAGTGAGGCGAGATCCAGTCTGTCTTTGGGGGAGTTCATAGACACCACACACACCATATAGGTCTCAGCCACCAATGTACAGCCTTATACCTGTCATGCCAAAATGACAGGTTTAATTTTGGGGAAGCAGGTATAAAGAACTGAAGCTTCAGTTTAACTCTGAGTGCTTTGTTCCTTCACATCAGTGATGCAGCATTGGCAGAAATGAAGATCTACCTACAGAATCTCCACTCTGAGGAAGGTCTTGTGGGACCAGAGTGAGGGTGTCAGTGAGCAGCAGGTTTGGAAGGGGAAGGTTAATGGCAATATGGAAGGTGAGGGAATACTTTGAAGAGATTCATGGGAAACAAAAGGCTTTTCAACAAGTGGTGCTGAAACAACATGGTTATCCATAATGAAAATAAATCAAGGCACTTTTGTTGAAAATCAATTGGCTATAAATGCATGGTTTTATTTCCGGGTTCTCTATCCTGTTATATTGGTCAATGTGTCTGTTTTTATGCCAGCACCATGCTGTTTTGATTGCTATAACTTTGTAATATGTTTTGGAAACCAGATGGTGAGGCCTGTAGCCTGATGCCTCTAGCCTTGTTCTATTCTTTTAGCTCACGATTTGGTGTCTTTTGTGATTCCATAGAATTTTGGAAATTTTTTCTGTTTCTGTCAAGAATGACTTTAGAATTTTGATAGGGATTGCATTATTTCTTAGACATAAATGTAAAAACTAAAGTTATTATGATCCTAGGAGAAAACATGAAGAAAATCTATGCAATTTAAGAGTAGACAAAGTTTTTCTTGGACAGGATACAGAAAACAATAACCGTAAAAGAAATGACTGATAAATTAGACTTATAAATTTCAAATTTCTTCTTACCAAAAGGCACTGTTAGTAAATGAAAGGCAAGTCATGGACAGGGAGAAAATGTTACTGGCCAAGGAAGGTTACTGATCCAGAGTACATAAACAACTCCAACAAATCACTAATCAAACGATGAACAACCCAATAAAAAGCAGAAAAAAAGATTTGAAGAGACACTTTATAAAATACACATGTAATACATATATGCAAATGGCCAAAAAGCACATGAAAATGTGCTCAACATTGTTAATTATTAAAGAAGTGCAAACTAAAACCACATTGAGATACCTCAACACATTTAAAGACTGGCAGTGTTAAATATTGCAATTAGAGCGACTAGAACACTCCTACATTGATGGTAGGAATGCATAATTATGCAACAATTTTTATAAACACTTTAATAGTTTCTTATAAAGTAAAATATACACTTATCATGTGGCCCACCAATTTCACCACCAGAAACTTAACCGAGAGAAATGAAGACACATGTCCACAGGAAGATTATCGGTAAATATTCACAATAGCTTTATTCATAATAACTAAAAAGCAGAAACAACCCACAGGTGCATTAATGGTTAATGCATAAATACACCATGGTACATTCATGTGGTGGAATCCTATTCTACAGTAAAAAGAATTCATCTATTGATACACTGTTCAACATAGGTTCCTCTCACAGGCATTAAGCTTGAGTACAGGAGGTTGCACACAAAAGAAGTCCATGCTGTGATTCCATTCATATAAAACTCTCCAGCAGGCAAAATTAACCTATGGTGAAAAGAAATCAGAACAGCGGTTGCCCTGGGAAGGGGCTATTGACTGGATAAAGGTATAAAGAATTTTTGTGAGGTGATGAAAATATTTAATATCTTCATAGGTGTGTGTGTTACAATTGTGGAACAAATTTGTCAAAATCATGCAGAAAAGATTTATGCATTTCAACATGCGTAAAATCGTACACTGAAAATTGTTAAGTGGGGGAAGTATAAATGAAACAAAAATGGCAAAGTGTTGATCAAGGTTGAGTCTGGATGACGAATATGTAGTGGTTCATTAAATCACTATACTCAGTTTATAGACATTCAGTTTTTTTCCATTAAAAAAAAAAAAGCTTTTTAGACAAAATAGAGAGGCCAGGTGCGGTGGTTCATGCATATAATCCCAGCACTTTGGGAGGCCAAGGCAAGAGGGTCACTTGAGATTGGGAGTTCGAAGTCAGCTGGCCAACATGGTGAAACCCCATCTCTACTAAAAATACAAAAAGTTAGCTGGGCATGGTGTCATGCACCTGTAATCCCAGTTACGCAGGAGACTGAGGCAGGAGAATCATCTGAACCCAGGAGTCGGAAGTTGCAGTGAGCGGAGATCACGCCACTGCACTCCAGCCTGGATATCAGGGTGAGACTCCATCAGAAAGAAAGAAAGAAAGAGAGAGAGAGAGAGAGAGAGAGAGAAAGAAAGAAAAAGAAAGAAAGAAAGAAAGAAAGGAAGGAAGGAAGGAA